TGCTTATAGTGTGAATTAGCTAGTTTCTTAACGGTTTGTGTTGCAGACACAAAGTTTTCTTTAGATAAAATAAATAAGAGTTAAAAATCATTGTGATTTCTTTTGAGGTATAATTGACATATAACCTTATATTAGCTTCAGGTGTATAACCTAATGATTCAGTATTTGTATATATTGCAAAATGATCACCCACAAGTCACCATACTACTTACAATTTTTCTTCTTGTGATGAGACTTTTAAGATCTACTCTTAGCAATGTTGAAATATGAAATACAGTATTATTAACTATAGTCACGATGCTGTACATGACATCCCCACGACTTATTTTATAACTGGAAGTTTGTACCTTTTGACTCCATTCACCAATTCTACCCTCCCCCACTCCCTGTTTTTGGCAACCACCAATCTGTTTTCTGTATGCAAGAGCTTGATTTTTTCTTTTCAAAATTTTTATTTAAATTCCAGTTAGTTAACATACAGTGTAATATTTGCTTCACATGTAGGATTTAGTGATTCGTCACTTACATACAAGACCCAGTGCTCATCACAAATGCCCTCCTTAATCGCCATCACCAATTTAACCCATCCCCCTGGCCACCCGCCTCCAGTAACCCTTAGTTTGTTCTTTATAGTTAAGAGTCTGTTTCTTGGTTTGCCTCTCTTCCCCCCCTGCCATGTTCATTGGTTTTGTTTCTTAAATTCCATATGTATGAGTGAAATCATATGGTGTTTGTCTTTCTTGACTGACTTATTACACTTGGCATAATACTCTCTAGCTCCATCCATGTCTTTGCAAATGGTAAGATTCATTCTTTTTTATGGTCAAGTAATATTCCATTATATATATACACACACATACCACACCTCTTTACGCATTCATCAGTTGATGGACATTTGGGCTCTTTCCATAATTTGGCTACTGTAGATAATGCTGCTATAAACATCGGGTGCCTGTGTTTATATCCCTTCGAATTGGTATTTTCGTATCCTTTGTGTACCCACGAGCTTTAAAATCACTAAGAATTCCAGCAATTCCTCCAATACAGAAATAATAAGAAATTAGCTAAAGACTATCTCAGTCAAAACAGGATAATCAAATTAAAATGGGCCTTTTCTGATAGGATATTTTTAGAATCACAGAAATGATAATTAGAAATAAAATAACTCCTAGTTTAGAATATTTAAAAATTTGATCACTGTAAGAAGGATCACAGATGTGTTTCTCTTAGTTTAACAAGAGAGACATTACTATTTGGGTCAGACAGAATTCACTTATGCTGTTTTTTATATTAATACTCTGAAATGGTATCTGAACATATAGTTAATTGCTGTAAAAATGGACGGGACAAGAAGGTAAAAGTCATCATACTACCTTATGTGATAGAAGTAGAAACACCGCAAAGCTATTCCATACTGGCACAGTTAATGTAAAAAATAAATCTCTAAAAACAACTTGAGGAATTTGTACTATGCAAATTTATTCAGCATAAGAGATTTCTGAAAATGACAATTTGTAAAACAAATAAAAACTATATTATTACAATAGTAAATATCTAAATGTATTTGAGAATAATTTATGTGCTCACTTAAATGTATCTAAAACATACTATCACATTTTCTCATTTAAAATATGAATTACTATCAATATGCCAAGTAGATTAAAAAATACCTTTTTTCTTAAATTCAAAAATGGTGTTACTAACATCAGATATATGTTTTTAGGTTGATTTTTTTATTTGTGGCTCTATATTTCACAACAATTTTTAACCAACACCATTTGTTACAATGTTATGCATTTTCATAGTGGTTGGCCAATCTTTCATTCCGATGTATAACTTAATGTTTCTTTTTTTCTTAATGTTTCTTTTAAAGTTATAGTGACTATGTAAGTTTTGAATCCATGATGGTACCCTATCATACTTCACTTAACCAGTGAACCTAGATTGTTCCAGTATAACATGTTTATGATCTTGTTAAGTGAAAATTGAAACCTTGGGTACCCTACCTATTATTATGGAGACAGAAATTCTTTTCTGCATTTTTCTTTGTCATATTTGATCCTAACATGATAACATAAAATATTTTGATTTGTTGACTTGTATTCTCGTCGATAGCTCTTGCCCTGCATTACCCATTGCTCCTTCTTTCTTTTCTGTAGCCACTTACCAAATGTGATACTGCATTAAGAGACTTAGCCTTTGAAATCCTGCCCTCTTCAGTTCTCGGCCATACAGACTCATTAGCATAATGCTCCTCAAACACAGGCGTAATGCTTTTCTCCTCTATTTAAGAGCAGTTAGTAATTTTCTAGTGCCTGTTATATCAAATATAAAGCTTTCATCCTCAGAGTTAATATTCTGTCTTCATCTGACCTTTTCTCTTTTAGCTATGTCATTTCTTTTTGCTCTTTGGCAGTCTCTCTGCTACTTCCAAACCATCTGGTTGTTATTAGCCCACAGGATTGGCTTCTAACTGCTTTCCTGCCTGTGCAGAGGTCACTCCTTGAATCACTGGGTGCCCACTGCTTCCTGAGACAGTCTATTCCATCTTCCATCTTTGGATAGGTCAGTTAGAGAGCTTTTCTCTTTACTGACCCGAAGTCAATTATAGGATACAGCATAGGATTTTTACTTGTATCTTTGTGTGTATGGCAGTCTAATGAGGTCTTCTTTCTTCGTTGTTTTGCATATGTGTATTACGTCCACAATGGCACTGTTTATCAGCTACTGGGAAGATCTCTGTACGTGGCAATCTCGCATTTCCGTACCCTGATCTCCCACCACCCCAGAACCACAACAGTTTGAACTCTAACTCTGTGCACGGTACATACATATCTGATAATGAAGCTATATTCTAAATATGGAATTATTTATATGTGAAAATATATACACTTAAGTATATGTATCAAAGGATAAAAGAATCTCTATTTCAGAAATGATTGTGAATTTTAATTGTACAGATAGAATGATCTGATCATGTGCATACTCACCCCATACACAAGGAAAAATGCTTAAACATCACTAATTGTTTAACTCAGAAAACATTACATTTTGCCTATTTTTCTATAATTGGTTAACTGTGACAATATTACATATTGTATATTTATCCAGACCTAGAAGGGCTTGGTTTTCTAAATGTATAATGCACTATTATGTTCTGGATTATAGAACGATTGGCATATTTAGTTCTATATGTGCAATTCAAACAATGCAGGAAAAATATTGATAGTTTTACATACATTTTACACTGTGAATGTGAAAAATTATCTTGGAGTTGTTACTACAAAAAAAAAAAAAAAAAGATAGTTATATCTTTCAAATAGCCTTTGTAGCCTGACCTTTTACTAGCAGTTCTAAATTGTTAGCATCTCCAAACATCCTTGCATTTGGAACTATCTCAAAAATTGTGTTCCCATAACAATTTAAATTGCATCTCCTGTGATACTATTTTAATCATTGTAATCAGCTACATCATATAATTAGATTTCAATCAGAACCTTTACTGCTATGCGGTAATCTGAGAAGTAGACACTTTAAAAATGTTATGTCTGCGTGTGTTTCTTCTCCTGACCTCCCTCTACTCCAGCTAAGTGACACTATAATAAGGACAATAATTGGCCATGGAGAAAAGAGGTTGCCTTTCATTTGTCCCTCATAATGTGGAAAATATTGCCCAGGAGCAGCTGGGTAGGGCCATCATCAGTTGATGTTTGATAGAAAGATACGCATATGGTAATAGACTTTTCACTAAAGGCTGTTACTTCTCTTGTGACTAATAAACACTGACTTATTTGTAAAATGGCTGCTCAGGGTTGGGAGTGCACCTCTGGGCCATGCGGGAGATTGGAATTCTTGGGACATGGTTGGCATGGGGTGAGGTGGGTGGCCCAGGTATGGAGCAACAGTGGGGAGGGCTCATCTACAGCCCGCATTGCTGTATTGTACTGCTTTGCAGGTCCTGAATTAACAGCAGTGAATTATTCTTTCTCACTTCTTATTATTACTAGATTTCGTTAAAGCCCACTTTTATGTCTTCCCATTAATCATCTGTGTAATTTTAGAAGGCAAAATGCATGAAGCTCAGAGTTAATTATGCATTCTATTATGCCTTTAGATATCTGGATGAAAGTCATGTTCCATCGCTCAATCCCTTCCCTAAAACTCATTTCCACAAGTGATGACTTAATGATCTATTTACTTTAAAGGTTTGCCTTTAAAGGTTAGCTGATTTGAAGGAAGAGACTTCTCTTCCATGGAATGAAAGAGAAGAGACTTCTCTCTCATGGAATCTGTAAGTATTTAGAAAAATCACTGTAGGCTTTGAAAATGCATTTAATATAACATATGTTGAAACCTAGGCTGGGACTATCCCTAGGTAGAGAGGACCCCTTTATACCCATGCAGAGTATGAGAGCCATAGTGTCCAAATTCTTGTTTCCATTTGTTAAACATGGAACCAACCAGCTGTGGAAACAGTGTAGATGAGGGTAAATTGCAGCTTTGTTTTGCAACTCCAAAGTCAGTATGTGTAAATAAAAGAATGATAAAGTGACAGAATTCTCAAATAGGATGATTACTAATCAGTTTTCCCTGATCAGTTTTGTTCTTCTACCATGAATAGCCAATCTATCATATCACTAGCTAGCTAGGAATGCAAACCTTAGCTTCACGTGTGCCTGTCAATTTAATCTCTTAATTTCCTTTTTTACTCTGCAGTTTTGAAAAACATCACTCTTCGATAATAACATCCGTGACTTCTAGGTATAGGTCATGTGTTTGATTACCATAAGGAGATATTTTCTTATGTTTTTAACAGCAGAGTGCAGTGTTTTGCAAGGAGAGATGGCTTTGTGAGTTAGGATATATTCATTCCTGTTCGACTGTGCTTTTTCTGAGCTCTTATGATACAGTTCAATCAGAATGTGTGCAAAAATCCTTCTACTATAAACTCTACATTAATATTTGCTAAAATGTAAATCAGAAATACTACTTCAAGCACATTCTGGATTTAGTGAGAACACAAGCAAGGTGAATTTCAGGTGAGGAAACCTGCCTCCCTCTAGATGTCAGTGTCCAATCCAGAGCCACACTTGCGGCAGAAGATTTCCTTGTTCTGGGTCAGGAAGCCTTCCCCCACCAAGGAGACCGAGCACTTCCCACAGTTAAAGCATTCACTGTGCCACTGGCGGTCTTGAAAGCAGATAAACTTGGCACCTCTGAGACCTGGAAAGGAATTGGAGGAAAAGAATATTCTTTCAATGAATAGATTAAGCATTCCATCAGGTACTCTCCTAGGAACTGCAGAGAACAGCAATGACCAAGAAGACTACAGCGAGGCAAGTATGTGGTCTTCCATGCCCCTGTGTCCACCTGGAAATGTCACCCGAGGCAATGTCCTCTGATGAGATCCAGCCTGATTCCCAGTCAACCTTTTCTATAATCTACAAAAGTAGGTAGAATCTGAATATACAAAATGGGTATTTTTGGAAACAGAGAAAGTTTGCCTAAGACAGATAAGGAAGTACAGTAAAATGCTGTGGGAAGGGGAGATAGATTTCAAAGTCAGAGATATCTAGGTGTGAATATGTTCTTCCTCTCTTCGTGACCCTCTTAGAAGCAAAATTAAGGTACAGTAAAATAAATATATACCTCCTAGCCTGGTGTCTGATGTTTTAATGACTTTGAGTTCTCTTTCCTCTATTTCTATGTTTAGTTTTACTTAAGATAAAGTTCCATGGTGATACTGTGGGTTTGGGACACAATCTCCAAAAGCCCCCAATAGAAGATTTCATCCGGACCATTGTGTAGCTAGCCTAACATGACGACCTGATTACCTTGCTCAGAGACAACTTCAGCCCAGGCTTGCAACAAAGATCTGTGAGTCTAATCACTCTGGCCACTGAGGCCATGCTATCCAGTAATTAGCTTCTAGGAAGTGCCTTGTCAGCCCCCACCACCTCCATCTGGGCTTCACGTGAGCCATAACGTTTCTAAGAAAGGTAATAGAATTTGAGTCTTCAGTGAGAATCCCTTTCTAAATTCCTTATATGGATCCAGACTACAGTTTAAGGAATTGATTTTGAGGAGTTGAAAGGGAGAAAAGGTATAGCGGTTGGGAAGGGTTTGGGATACCTTGGGTCTGTTTTTATTTGCCAAGTTTTTTCCCAAGTGCTTATAGTGGTACGAACTTCCTGTGATTTGCTCATTACTCACAGAGTGTGGCTAACATAGTCATGTGTTGATTCACATATAATTTCCAAATATTCCATTTGGGGAAGTAAAAAAAGGTGAATAAGAGTTCTACTTCAGATAAACTCTCCTTAAATATGATAATGAACTTTTATTTCCATGCTAGAAATGTTATTTGATGTCTTTACATGAAATTTACTAGTTTATAAACAAATGCACATCAAATTTCTTCACCTTCTTTGATTAAATTTATAGCTTGCTTATTTATGATGCTATCATCACTACTTGCTAATAAGAGTAAATCAATAATGAACCAATTAATTCCCTGAATGTTATTCAAAACAGTAATAAGCTGACTGCAAGAATCATATTCTATATATGCATGAATCATCTCTGTTCACAAAACTAATTATTACACATCTTGCATTTTGATGCTCATGAGCTTTTCTTGATTTTATTAGTAAGCCTGTACAAATGGGGGTAAATATAAAAATAATTCTTCCAGAATTTTACAAAGAAAAGAGAAACAGAAGCATCTGGTAGTAGGAATTTAAGAAAGGCGGATTCAACATGTGAGATGTTTATAAATTATTTCAATTTTGAATACATTTACTCCCTCAAGTCATGAGGCTCATTTGTATTAAGAAAGTCCCCCAGGAAACTGGTCTCTGGCACTTGTTTTATTTGACTTCATTTATTACTGAAAATTCAGCAGAATAAGAGCTAGCATTTGTTGAGCACTTGAAAATGAGTCAGTCACTATTTTAAGCCCTTTGTATGTACTGCTTCACTAGCTCTCACCTTACCTTCATGAGTAGATATTACCGTCAACTCTGCTTTGCAGACTAAAATGGATGAACAGAGAGGTTCAACCACTTGCCCAAATCAGCCAGCTGGTATGTGACAGATCTGGGATTCAGTCCTAGGCCATCTGGCTTCAGAACCTGTGCTCTTAACTTCCCCAAATTCAGTCTGAATTTATCTTTTGTAAAGACCATAACCAGGAACATTAGCATTCCTTTCAGAAGAAATAACATTTGAAACTCCTTTTACTCAAAATAAACAGAAATGGCAGAAAGCGAAGATGTGATCCTATTCAACTCCTCATTTGCAAGCAAGGCAAATGAGGACCTCCGTGGTGGTGAGTTCTTTACCCATGGTCCCACAGGCCTCAGGGGCAGAGCCAAGGCCAAGGTCTTTTACTCGCTAGTCCAGAGCACGTCCCTACGTCAAGCTACTTCATTTATCCCAGAAAATTTGAAAGGTTAATCGTATCTTAGAGGAGAAAAAGAATATAGTTCTACCTTGAGTTTGTTCAAATGAATCAAATTTATTCTGATGGGATTTAAAAAAATCACACCTGAGACTCATAGGTAGATTTAGTTAATATAAAAAAGTATTTTGAAAACACCCTAACATAGTTTCTTAGATTGACACATTGTTTGCATGAATGTGCAACTTTCAGAAGATAAATATATGGCAGCATAAGAATTTCCTGTGGTACATTAATTCAAAGAGCTCAATTTTAAAGAAACACTACTGCAAAGCATAATATATATATATATATATATATCAGATAAAAAAACAGTGAAGTGAGTTGGAAGTTTTTGCAGGCATTTTAGTCTCAGGTGTCTCTCATCACAGCCAAAAGAAGATTATGATCATTATCAAAAAGCTGATTATTCTAAGTTAAATACATAATCCTGTATTTGGATTACTTTTGGGTCAAATCTGTGGTTCTTGATCATACTTATATTACCTGCAGGACAATGTGTTTTTTCTCTCTGAACCTGAAAGACCTGGGCTCAGTGATTAACAAGAAACAACCCAACAGAAAAAAGTCACTTAGCTACATGAATCTGCGATGGATGAGAATTGAAACTCCTCAAGTTCAGGGCTCACATAGGCTCTTCGCAGGTCAGTATTAGCCATTTGGGTACCCAGGAAGTGTTTAAACCCATTTTGACTTGTTTAATTTTCTCATTTCCTCATGGAAGCCCCCCTTTCTTTTTCTGGCTAGTTCAAGAAAAGTGTTCTAGACTAAATCAACTGCATGCATTGGGCTGTAATTGCAGATTCTACCAAGGAGATTTATGAGCTCCCAGGACTGATGCATTTCTGGAAGTCCCATTTTCTAACTAAAACTGGTAGCGACAGTGGCTTATTCCCCTGACTGTAGGAGCTGTGAGATGTGTAGAGGCAGGGGAGTGGAGTGGTGAAGAGCTCAAGCTTTGGAGCCCGGTAGTCTGGGATTGCCAACGGAATCCAATGCAAGGGTTGGGGAGGTAACAGAGCTGAGAGATGGAGACGAGTTGTGGGGAACAGAGACCCAGCTGGGAGGTCTGCTCACCCCGGCAGGTTCTTCATGTACTTTTGGCTGCAGAGATGGGTTTTGCACTAGTTGTTTCCAAACATGTGCAGGCCAAACAAAACACACCTGCCAGCCAGCTGTAGCCCTGGACCGGGGTGAGATGCTGAAAAACATGGTGCCCTGTGCAGAAAAATGAGACCTTGTCTGTTTGTCTGGGTAAATCTCTCCCTCCCCTTGCAAGTCAGTGAAAACCTGCCAAGCTGGGTTGCCGTGAAACTCTTTTCTTTGAAGATTTAAGAAGATTCAACTTTTATTTTGTGATGTATTTGAAGATGGAGGGGAGGAAAAGGATAAAATAATCTTTAATTCTGTGTTACATAAACTAAACTAAAAGAAGTGAAATCTGATCTAAGAATCCTAGGAATGGGAACTAGAAGTACAGTTCTGCCTAAAAGAATAGGTACTGGGGTTCTCAGGTCATGCCAGCTTCATTTTTTTTTTTTTTACTATAGGATTAGCATTTTGGAAATACTTCTGGGGAAAATATAATGCATCATTTTACCTTGAAAATCTTTTTAACATGGATCAATTTACCATTTGTGATATTTTCAAATCATGTCACGTGTATTTTGTTCGTTCAGCAGAATGCCATCTTGTTTTATGTATTCATAATTAAAATGTACTGCAAGTGGATTGAGAGAAATGAGAATGATACACTTGTTAGAAGCATCTTAAAATGAAGTTTAATTAACTCCTGACCTATGCCACCCTAATTATTACAGCTTCAGATTTTTGTACAATACTTGCATTTTTAATTAAAACCTTTTCTATTTTAGGGCCCTTTGCCCTTGTTTGGAATTAAGCAGGATTTTTATTTATAAGTATCCCTTTCTCCCACTCAAATCATTAATCGGCAGGCCTCCTCGTGAAGTTCTCTGACCTCTCAGCTCATCCTGTTCTCCTCTTTCCCTGAACGATTACTTAAGTCATTACCATTAGGTTTAGTATTAATTACCCTCTACAGAACATGGCAGCCCTAATTATGCTCTCCACTTGCCTTGACGGGGTCTGTGTAATATTTGTATTTACGTGTGGGTACCCCTGTGTGTGTATCTCAGAAGATTATCATTTTTTACTCGCGTTTCCCAAATTAACTATATAGCAAATCTACATAGCCATTGTAGGACCATACTAAACTGAAGAACTCACCAGTAATGGGTTTGGTGCAGGCTGCACACTTTTTGGCATAAAGATGGTTGTAGCAGTCCAAACAGAATGGATAATCATCTCTGGACATAAACTCTTCTTCGCAGAGCTCTTTCCTACAGCCACTGCACAGAAAACACGCTTTATGCCACGGTTGGTCACGAAACGTTATCCCACCTGAAGTTATCACCTGCCAAAGGATCACAAAAAGGCAGTGACCATAGAAGCTAGTACAATTCGGACCTGTCACGATCCTCTTCTGTGTCCACAAGTGGTAGTTTTGGCTACTCTATTACCTTGTGTCAGGATGTCCTTTCCCTGTGATTTTTTTGAATCAATATGAGAAGCAAAAGGTTATAAGGATTAAATAGAACTGGCAAGACATATCCTAATTTTTCTCTTACAGTGGAATAGAGAAGAAGCAGGGCCATCATGGACTCAGGAAAATGAAAAAGAAGTAGATCCTTGATTCCTTTTCTCATCTTTCTCTTTCTTGTTGGGCTTCAAAGATCTGCCATCAGAACTAAGGTATTTTCTACACCAGGTTCTTATTTCCATGTCTAACTTTTAAGGATGCTGAAAAAAACTACTTTCCCCTGAAAGCTTTATTCCAGCAGTAGCAATGCTGAATGGCATTGTTAAGGACCATCATCCACTAATCATGACTAATATTTCTGAAGTGAGCTTTCAGTCTTCAGCCCTGTGCTAAGGGATGACCACTTCTTTTGTTCTTAACATCCGACACAGCCAAGACTATTATCTTTCCCCCTTTAAGAGATGAGAAACTACTGAGTATTAGAGTGGTCAGGTCCCTCGCCAGGTCACACAGAACTAGTATGCAAACCTACACAGTCTGACTCCTGAGCCTGTGTGCTTAGCCAGTAAAACAATACTGAGGCAAGGTTACTTTTTGCTCATGAACAGTTGATAAGTCCTTGTCGAATGAATGAACAAACACCAAGGGGAAAAACATTTGGACAGCAATTCTGGTATTGTATCTAGCACAAATGGGGTGCTTTGCCGACTGCATGGGTTTTCAGCTTTAGAACTCAAAGTAATGATGAGCACAGCTTATATGTTGAACCTTAATGTGTGATGTGTGAGGGTTTTGTCAGAGATGATTATTATTCCTCCATAACATATATATTTTTTTCTAAACCAGTTTAATCCATGGGTTGTACTTTTTAAAAGGCTGAGACATCTTTATTTAGAATCAGATGGGTAAATATTGGACACCTGTTCTTGGGTAGCAATTTTTAAGTCATAGCGTCTTTTGAACCCATGGCTGTTGAGCTCTTGGAGTAGCTGTGGAATCTGGAATGTGTTCATGTGCTCCCTGAGGCGAATCCTGTAATCTTTGTATTCAAATTAACTGGATATAGAGAATGTAGAGCCTCTTCTAAGCCATCTTACTGATGAAAAATAAAAAAAAATGTCTATGATACATGCTGTTGAAAAGATGATTCTAAAGATATTTTTGAATCTTACAACAAATATCTTAAAAATTAAAGATATTTGATAGAACAGTTATTTTACCTAAAAGTTATTTTACCTAAACAGTTATTTACCTAAAGTTATTTTACCTATTTTACCTAAAGGAAAAGATGTATACTAGTCTAAATAAGTAAATGGGAAACATAATGGTGTGTGTGAACTAAAGCAATTTAAAATACCCCCTACTGATTTCAAATGGCTCACCACAGGGACAGCAGAATTCAAGATTCCTTTGATTTGTTTGGTCAAATTATTAGCAGGCAATGCTTAAAAGATTCCAAACTTGAAAAATGTATTCACAGCAAAAGAAAACTTGATGAGCATTCCAGAGACTGTTTAATTAGGGAGAAGAAACTCTGGAACATTAAAAATAGTTTGCTTATGATTATGTTCCTTTTGAGGAGGCAGGCAGGCTGAGATGAAGCCGAATACCCAGGTGTGGTTTTTGCCATTGATTTATCCCAGGATTTGGAACAAGTTTCTTCTCTGGCAAAGTGGAAGCAGTATTGGTTTTGTGCTTCATAGACCATAGCCGATGAATCAGAGAATACTCTATTTGAACCTCGAGGAGTTTGGATTCAAAGCACTTGGAGTTTGAGGTTCCTTGTTTTTGGTAGAAAATAGGTTTTATTTATTTATTAATTTATTTTTATTTTATTTTATTTTTTTAGAGAGAGGGAGGGAGAGAGAGAGTGGGGACAGTGGAGGGAGAGGGTGGAAGAGAGAATCCCAAGCAGGCGCCACGCCCAGCAAGGAGCCCAATGTGGGGCTCGATCCCAGGACCCTGAGTTCATGACCTGAGCCAAAATCAAGAGCCGGACCCTTAACCAACTGAGCCACCCAGGCATCCCAGAAAATAAGTTTTAGTTTCACAAAATAAAATCTATGAAAAAAGTTCTAAGGGCCTGGTTGTCCAGTATTTTTTGCCCATTTTGTTTGTTTTATTTGGTCTTTGGTTTGAGTTGAAACATTGTTTTTCTTCAGCTTGGATCATCTCGATCAGAAACATTTATATCCAGCTTTCCTTAAATGACTTGTGGTTTTAAAAGTTAAATAGAAAATAATCTGGCATGTCGTGATCTGTCTACTACCCAACATAAATATTTCACAAAGTTTTGGTGACTTCAAGTCATGTCCTAAATATAGGACAGGCTCCTATAACTTGGGAAATGCCAGTGCTTTGGCCTCAAATGGTGCGTAGCCTGGGTATACTAGAGAAATTCCCCGTCTTGAATCTTTATAGCATTGAAAGAAACTTTATATTGTAGGCCCAATAAATGATTTTAAGATAATTCCCGCAAGTCTCATTAATGTTTTAGCTTAAGTCTTTAAAAAACATAACATGAACATGGCCAACTTAGTTGTCCCATAAAACAGTGAGATAAATCTACCATTTTATTTCCAACATCTGTTTCTAAAATGCATGTCTTCAGGGCACCTGGGTGGCTCAGTCGGTTGAGCATCCAACTCTTGATTTCAGCTCAGGTCATGATCTCAGGGTCATGGGATCGAGTCTGCTTAAGATTCTCTCTCTCCCTCTCCCTCTGCCTCTACCTACCCCCCTTGTGCGTGCTCTCTCTCTCTCAAAAAAGAATATAGTAAAATAAAAAAAAATAAAATGCAGGTCATCAATTCTGGTAAATCTTCTGAGCTTCATATATTGCAGGGTCATAGGATCTGAGAGTTGCTTATAAAGTCATTGTCTAAGTCAGTGTTACTGGTAGAGTAATGAGAGTCTCTGGGTGTAGGATGGTTTTATATCATGTTACTATCAATTGTAATTTCAGCCATCATTATAGTGTAATCTAATGATTATGACTTAGGAGTTTATTGTTTCCTCTGCAAATGCAGTCCTTGTATTTTAAATACATGTAGAAAATTACCGAGCTCATGTGCTCCCATAGAAAGTGGTAGTGAGACTTCTAGCTGTCCAGATGCAATTATACAAATGGTCCTGAGATCTGCCAGAGCATCTCATAGATCAAAAATGTTTAGACACCACCGCTTTCCCATCACAATTTATAGTGTTATTTTAAACTTTATGATGCCTCATGGGTCAAGGATTTCTCCAAGTACATCGATATATATTTTATGAAATACAGAGGTTTTATCAAGGTGCTAGAGATGAGTGGCTCTTTCACATAAAAGCTTAAAGGCTAAAAAAGAGATGGACAAAGTTTACTTGAAGGCAGGACTTCGTTCTTATTGGAAGATATGTTTTGAAGGGGTCTCCGAGTCAGAAAGCCTTATATGATGCTCTGGAACTGGAAGCGAACCACATGCTGCCCTTCGTCCTCTTTCTGTCTTTCTGTCTAGTGAATTTCCCTAGTGATCTTGTCACTCTCTTGAGTCTACTTACTTACCCTTTAGAAATATTAAAGCTTTAAGCCAAGAGGACATTTGTGTTGCTGGGACATAATGTGAGAAGTTAAACATCCTGTTTAAATTGGTTCTGTCAGCGACTTTGTGAGACAAATCATATTTCTCTGAAACGAAATGGATCCAGAACATATTTCTAAGAAATATCTTGTATTCCACAAACGATGTGTGCCCTCTGCCAGAATACAGGAAATCTTGTGTGGTAGCAGTGAATGGAACTGGACTATCTTGAGCTTTTGGAATCTTACATTCGTGTCCTGGGGGAAATTTATGATGATAAAAATAGGTGGCCATCTTCATTGTGATGGACGGGTAGTGTGCTTCTGGACAGGCCAGAATTCAAAACTAACATGCACATGCAAAGACAGAATGTGATAGGATCAGTGCGTTCCAAATATCTAGGGATGTTAAAAAGCAGTGGTCTGGAAGGTTCCACAAGCTTCATCCTCTTTAGATAATTACCTTCTTACAAAAGCTGCAGTAGTGAGCAAACTCCTTCTCAAAACATGGCACACAGTAATTGCCACTCTCTTTGGAAATCAAAGGCTTAGTTCCTATTGGCTGTCGGCAATGGTCACACACAAAACAGGTTTCATGCCAGTAGTTTCCCTTAAATTCCATTTTGCGGGAACCTGTCCCCCCCACCCCAAATAAGAACCTGTTAGTACAAATGAAACATCATTTTACTTATTTTAAGTAAAGATATGTCAAATTACTCAAAATATATATATTTTAACATTAAGATGATAAACTTAATTGTCCTTATAGAAAAAGTGTTTTGTTGCCTTCTAAAACATTTATCTGAAAAAAAGAAGGTAGAGTTCATGATGAAGGTGAGTCGCTCTTTTACTGAAAACTCTTGTGCTGTGTAAGCTACAATTTTGAGATTTGAAAGTACAACTAATGGAGACTCTGAAGGGCTGCATGTGGTTTAGATAGATTGGGCCATAATTACCAGTACTGGGATATTAGGAATGCCCGAGGCACAAACTCTTGAGATTGATGTTGTGCAGTTATGGTCTCCTAGAAACTCTTTGAATTCATAATAAGGAAATGAGAGAGAATCGTGTTTTATGCTGCTGTCCATAGGGATTTAGAAGAGAATCAAAACAGAGAAAGTGCTTGCCTGAAAGTATAATGATGTACATGAATCCTTGACTTGCCTAAAAGGAATAAAGATGAGGGACCCGCAAACCATTTTTTGTCCTGCTACAAAATGATGGTTGGCCCCATTCTCCTATGATGGATTATGCTTCTGGATGCCATTGTTTATGCCTAGGACAGGGTGTTTAATGCAGCGTTAGTGTTACTAGTTTAGATTTTATCTTTATTCTATGGCTCAGATAGTGGTTGAAAATGTCTCTATGAATTAATTAACTTCATGAAAATACGTTGAACACTGTAATTTACCCATACAGAATAATTACCCAGAAAGAATAATCCTTTTATTTCTAAAAAGACACAAAATGAAATCAAGAGATAGCAAGGTAGATGTCTTTCTCCAAAGGAGGGCTTTCTTAGCTACTATACTCTTCCTATGCTTGGGCGTAATTCAGAGTGTTGCAGCTTCAGTGAGAGACTGGAGCTCCCTTGGGATCTTACCAGGCATGATGGTCTTCTTGCAGTGGAAGCACTTGGAGGAGCACTCGTTAGAATAGCACTCCGAGCACAGCAGGCGTTCATCCTTGGCAGCAAAAGGCTTTTCCACCAAAGAGTGATTGCATTTGGCGCAATTGAAGCATGCTTCATGCCAGTGTCGGCCTTTGTAACGAAGATCCTTCGAGACAGTAAATATGAGTTAATTAAATGTGCTAGTAACAGAACCGGTCATTTGATAAGACAAAACTGAACACTCTTGGGACTCTGGTGTCAGTAGTTTGTGCTGGTAGCTTGAGGGAAAGTTGTCATTGATACTATTACCCATGGAGAGGAGCCTCCCTGGGGCAATTAAGAGCTAGAGCCTGGGGCTTTCTTAGTTGGTCACTAAAGACAGATGGAAAATAAACTCTTTCTTATTTCTTCAGATTTCCTCTTCCTTTTATCAACTGTAAGAGGGGTTTTTCATGGAATGATTTTTATTTTTAAGTTGTAATATCCTATTATTGTTTGAGATTAAACAAAATCTCAACACCACAAAACAAAGACAAAAAAGAAAAAGAAAAAGAGAAAAACAATAATGTGCATTGTGGGAGGAATGGGCTGTATGAGGGCCCAGTGGACTTAGAGGGGATGAGCCTGATTTGAAGTCAGAAAATACAGATTTTTGAAATCTCTACACTTCTAATGATTTATGTATTTATTCATTTATACTCTTGTCATTCCAGAAATAAACCAGCATTTTAGCTGTGTAACTCTGGGCAAATAACGTAACCTCTTTAATCTTTAGCATCTTAAACTATCTTCTAAGATCACTGTGAGGATTAAAGTAGATGTTATAGTTCATAGTGCTAAGCACAGTACCTGGTCACTGATGGTAACTTTGAAGATGCTTATATCCAGGAATAGAGCAATACAGTATTAACAGTCAATACCGAAGGAAATGAGGCATTCCGAAGCATTTCTCTGCTTGTTTGCATGCAATCATTCTGTAAATTGAAAACCTACCTTGGAATCTGATTCGATTGGTTCTTTGCACTCTTCACAATAGTTAGAAAAGATACGATCGTAACATGAAACACAATATGGATTGTCATTCTTTAGTACATACTTCTTCCCAAGAAGTGATGCTGTGCAGTATTGACAATCAAATTGAGCAGTTGTCATTTTGGTTCAGTCCTGTGAATAAGAAAATGCTTCATGTACATGAAAGCAAATTTTTATAAGATAAATTATAAAGCATTACTAGGAGCCAAACACTTGAATGAATTTATATCTTAAGCAAAAAAACAAAACACCAATTTAGGAAAATATGCTGTAGTCATGGTGACATTTGGAGTGATTTAGGAAAGGCTACTCTCCCATTTTGGCAGTTCCTGTGTGTTTTGCTAACAAAATGCAGTAACCCCGCAGCCAGATTGTGAAAAACATCTTGTATTCATCATTCACTAACGTGAACTTCAATGAAAACGTGATATGTGTTGAAAGAGGACGGTTTCACCTCAAGGATATAAATATGAACTGTTGATAGGTCTTTCACTAACTGTCATCACTTCCTAACTTGCTGGAGAGTTCTGGAGGCAGAGTTCCTTGGAAATCACAACAGTCTGAAATGGAAGTTAATAATCAAGTACACTGTCATTTTCTAGGCCATTCTTTTATTTCTCAAATCTTTATTGGGCACCTAAGGAGGGTTCTGCACATTAGTCCTCACATCTTCCTGTACTACGTACTCTCCGTTGGGACATCCTCCTTCCTTGTAGCTTGAACCTCCCCAGATATGCTGTTAACTCCCAAATCTGTAGCTAAAGCTACACTTGCCTTCTGGGCATCTCCTTCTGGATGGCCCATACTAACCTGACCAAATACAACTCCTTAGCAGGTAGGACTTAGTCCAAGTGCTAGGTCTTTCTGGTTGCTGTTGAACAGTTGCCCAGATGTAGAATCAGGGGAAACCATCAGTGGTAGAAAAGAACTCTAAGCTTCTCCAGGTTTTAGGACTAAACTAAGATGTATATAGAATGGTGACTAGCAGCATTTGCTGAATGAAAAACTGATACGAAACATAGAGCCAAGGCAAGAATAAGGAAACCAGTAAAGAACAGAACATACGGATTTCAAAAGGTCTAATTAGGCATTGAACATGAGTTTTTCATTGTCACCAAAAACACTATCACTGCTTTTCTTGGAAAATGAGATTTGTTATCTTTGGATTTACTGGAATATATTAGGAGCTTTGAATATTTTCTAATTCTCTACCTTGGAAATTTTTTTTTTAATTGTAGCAAAATCAGAAAATCAGTTATTGTAACGCTTTTCACAGCATTTTTGTTTTTTATTTTTTTAAAGATTTTTTATTTATTTATTCATTCGAGACACAGAGATACAGAAAGAGAGAGAGAGCATGAGCAGGGAGAGAGGCAGAAGGAGAGGGAGAAGCAGGCTGCCCGCTGAGCAGGGAGCCCGATGCGGGGCTCGATCCCAGGATCATGACCTGAGCCGAAGGCAGACGCTTAACGTTACATCTGAGCCACCCAGGCACCCCTTTCACAGCATTTTTAATGCTAGTTTTTATTTAGTACATTCAAATTGTATTCTCATACATTTTTGCCTTCTTTTATTTTAATGATGAGGTGTCCAGCAGACTGTCTTGCTGAATATATATTGTCATTAATTCTGTACATAACAGCTTTGCTATATTGTTCTTCACTAACAGAGAAAAGACAGGATTTAGAACATGTGGGTTTTTTTCCCAGGAAAGATGAAAATTCATACTAGAAAGTTCCCAATGGAACATGCCAAAATTATCTGCAAGGAACATTGAATTCCCTATTTGATTAATTCCACAGAAATGTCCCCTCCAAGTGAATACAAACACACTCAAAGAGTTACCGAGGGTTTAGAAACAGGAGGAAAATAGATCTGATTCCCTTGAAAGATTTTAAAATGTGAGTTTTATTCACATTTACGGTGATCATGTGTTTATCTCTTAATAGTGAAATCAGGTTTATATACCTTTAACTTTCATCACTTAGTATGGAAAATGCCATCTTCATTATTAGTACTTACTTGGAGTTAGCTGTACATAATAGCATCATGGAGCAAGGGAACTCCCAGTCTACTTCCATTTGGTGAGGCTTTTAGTATCTTATAAAATGAAGAAGCAACTGAGGGGATTACAAAACTGGTAGTGTTTCAGCACTTTAAACACAACATTGCAATACCTATATCTTATTTATTTTATAAATATATACATATTGATATCAAAATATGTAATCAATAAATATAAATACTTGTCTAGATAAGTATACCCATCCTAGCCACATAATAGGCCTTGCTCCATAGAAAATTCTTAACAAAATGGACCATATTTTATTTTTTTTTTTTTTGAAGAAAGTTACTTCTTATTTTGTTTTTCTTTTTTTTTTTCTTAAAGCAGCATCGGACAGTTGGGTCGGGTGGGAACAGTCATTTCAACATCTCAAAACCTTGTGATTTTGCATTTTATAGAACTATACAGTGAGACAAGGCCTTTAGTCTAGGTCAATGTGTATTGAATATCTAGTCTGTAATATTTGAACTCCCTGCCCTCCAGAAGTCTGGATTCTCTTAGTTTAACTCTTACCTTGGTAATAGTGAACATAATTTGAGCTAAGAGAACAAACTAAATGTTCACCTTCTTATTCTTGGTTGGGGAAAATACACTCAGAAATTCAGCCCTCATTTTCATGAAGTCTCTCATTTATCTGTGGATATGTGAACCCATCCAAATAGAGGTGTTATAACCATATACGTGATACATATTCTACTGGAACCATGGAATTCTTAGGGAACTAATAGAAAAGAGGGTGAGGAGCTACAGTATCAGGAGACCTTCCTGGGAAGACTTTAAGGAAGTTAAGCTGTGGAAACTCAGGAAGGAAGGAAGGAAGTGAGGGAGGGAGGATCAATCCTGATTTGGCAGGAAAGGAAGGGGAAAAGACAAATGGGAGAATGGCGCGGGATCTCTTCTGAAGTTGGGAAATGGTGAGTCTTGGGAAACAAATTTTCACCTGGGTACATTCAGGATTAAAGAAGACCTTGAAACTAAAGCTTCTTAAAGCTATTTGAACTCTTAATACAAGCAGTTCTAAATGTGGTGGGGGCAGGCAAGAGAAGCGAAAGAATTTCTCTAATCAAATCACTTTTTACCTAACCTTATTCTTTTCTAAACATCATTCTGTCCTTTTTCCTCTTCTTTATCCCTAACATTAATATTTTTAAATACTCAGGGAATAATTCTGTGTCCAGAAGAGCAGATCCAATGGTTTGCTCTTAATCACTTCCTAACAAGGAAAGCTGTACGAAAGAAGATGAGGACCCTGTGATTCTTATCTCAGGAACCCCCATCTGAGAGCTAATTTGGCAAAGATACCGGGAAAAATTTCTCTTTCAAAGATTTTAAATCCTTTTCTTTCAAAGATCTAAAAAGCGGATCTAGGGCGCCTGGGTGGCTCAGTTGGTTAAGCGACTGCCTTCGGCTCAGGTCATGATCTTGGAGTCCCGGGATCGAGTCCCGCATCGGGCTCCCTGCTTGGCAGAGAGTCTGCTTCTCCCTCTCCCACTCCCCGTTTGTATTCCCTCTCTCGCTGTGTCTTTCTCTGTCAAATAAATAAATAAAATCTTTAAAAAAAAAAAAAGCGGATCTATAATTATGAACCATAAGAAATCTTAATATTAACAATGTAACCCAACTGGATAGCATTTCATTTTTTTAGGTATGAACTCAGGAAATGCTAGTATCAATATCAAGTTCTTGGCAGACTTCTTTCAAAGGGATTATATGTATCAATTAGATATATTCTAGTCAAATTTCTTTCGAAGTCATTCTGCAATTATACAATAGTTTGAGTACAGAATTTTTATCATTGCCTACTGGGGTTTTAGAAGATTGATTTAGAGATACACTGATATATCAAAGAACTGACATATCTAAAAACAAATAAATACCTCAGAAATCTGGTGTCATGACCAGACTTGACTTTCATTGTCCAGTTCCTCCTTTATTTTAGATTCTACTTAGAAAGGTGTGAGTTCATTGGCAATAGTTTCTATACCTGAGAATGCCATTTCTTAGATGTTATTTTTTAAACCAGGAATAATTTTCTGTCAAGTTATATTTTATGGTGAATTATTGATTAGAAGGCTAATGCTGTGAGCAATATATCCACTTATATTTTTACTCTGCTGAGCAGAATTAATAGATTCACAAGAAATGTACTTGAGACTATGTCAAGCAGGAGGGAGGCAGGGATTTGATGCCCTGTATCTTTAATATGCTTTTGTTTGCAAGGCATCATCCATCATTCATTTATTCATGCAGTCAATCAACATTTAAGGTTTTTTTTTTTTTTTTGCAAAGTAATCTGCCAGAAATTATGAAGGACATAAAAGAGAGTAGATTCCAATCCTACCCTCAGAGAACTTATAATTGAGTAGGAAGAGTAAGGACATTTTATAAATAACAAAAGTTAGGAAGTGATGAGGGGAAATGAAAGATTGTAAGAATTTAGAGCAGCAGTTCTAAACACAGAGGATACATTAGAGTTTAAAAATTTCCAAAGTGCACCCCTACTCCACACCAATTAAATCAGAATTTCTGGAGGCAAAGAACGAGAATAAGTATTTTTCAGGTCCGAGGTGGCTCTAATGTCCAATGGTGGTGAAAACCACCAATGTAGAGGAGGCAGAAGAATGATGACTTTTAGTTAGGAAAAATCCAGGAACAAGTTGGAGAAGGTGGAGTTGGAATGAATCATGCAGTAGATGTTATAGGTTGGCTCTCTCAACCTTGGCTTTACTCTCCTCGCTGGAGAGGTCAGGAAGCTAAAAATATTTCCTGGCCCCTCTTCAGCTGGTGTCTGGGAGGCAAATTTGGCTCTGCTAACTCAAACCATGTGTGTAAACTGGAAGATGGGAGGGTATGGAGGATATGTTCCTGCTGCTGTTGATGCTGGCAGACTGTGTCTGAGATATGTGAGTGGTTTCTACTATTTTGAAATGCCTGGACTCAGGTTGTCCAGGGTTCAGTGACTAGATTTTTGGCTGTGAGAAACAGTTGTAATGGTATCCGTGGCAGCAGCAGCAGGTCTCTGACCTCTGGGTTACAGAGCAGAATGGATGTAGAGGTGGGCAAAGAGCAG